GGGAAACCTGGCTTTTTATCCTGTGTAAAATGTAGAAGGAGTTCAGGGAAGACGGGACTTTTTGCACAAAAAACGTCATTTTTCGACCCCCATTTGACCCCCCGGGGCAAAATCAAAATTCCGAAACCTTACTGCACATCTACATGACACCACTTATCATCCCACAAAAGATGATTAGGCTGCTAAGTAAAATGTAAGAGAAGTTCAGGGAAGATGGGGCTTTTTGCATAAAAAACGTCATTTTTCGACCCCCATTTGATCCCCCGGGGCAAAATCAAAATTCCGAAACCTTACTGCACATCTACATGACACCACCAATCATCCCCCAAAAGGTGATTTGGCTGCTGAGTTAAATGTAGAAGGAGTTCAGGGAAGACGGGACTTTTTGCACAAAAAACGTCATTTTTCGACCCCCATTTGACCCCCCGGGGCAAAATCAAAATTCCGAAACCTTACTGCACATCTACATGACACCACCAACCATCTCTTAAAAGATGATTAAGCTACTGTGTAAAATGTAGGAGGAGTTCAGGGAAGAAAGTGTGACAGACGGACGGACGGACGGACGGACATGAGTAACAACAATATACCCGAACTTTCTTTAGAAAGTGCGGGTATAATAACAGTATTTGACACTTTTTTTAATCAAAGCAAAAACTAGCTAGCTACATGATATTGTATTTATCTCATGATTCAAAACTTCTTAACGGTCCTTTGATAAAATTTCCCAAATTATTAGGTAGGGTTTATTTTAACGGATCCCCCTTCCGATAATGTAGATATAATTACTTTCATTTAAATAACGTTAACGTCATACCGTTACAATATACAGGCGTATATATAATAACGTCAAAAGTCATGACGTTATACATGTATATAGATTTTACTTGAAACAATACCATTTTCAAACGACTATAAAACTAGCTGGAAAAGATATCACTAAAAAATAAATTGTGTTATAACCCTCAAAGTATAACCTATCACAGAGTAAAATTTCATTTATTTTGGGGACGGGGCATATTTTGGCACTTCGTGGCTGTAGCTCTTTAAATTCAAATGAAATTATAAAGAAATCAACCACCTAACTTTCAAAGAGTAATCACAGAGACAAATTTGAAAGTTTATATGACCTACACTCTAATATTACGAATTACAATTTTATTTTGAGTGAAAATATCTTTGAAAGTAAATGTTTCTCTTTAACATGTTGAAGATGAATCTTCTTTGCAATTTTCTGCATGTGACTTTTTTCTGTACAGTAATGACTGGTGTAGTGGTCTCCTGTCCCCAGAAGCTGACAGAAACATTGATAGCCTCTGCCAGACTGGGCTGTGGTCAAGACAAGTATGGTAACAAACAGTACTTATGTCTCCCGAACTCAGAAAAGACGGGTCTGGTAGAATTCTGTCACGATGGAGTCATGGGGATATTGGAGAGAGGTGAGTGATCAAATTTAATTTTTGTTATTTAATACATTGCGTTTTTAAAACTGATACCCAATATGGCAGCTTAGGCAAGGATTGAACTTTCTTACATGCCAGTCAAACTCCAAGGTCAAAAAGTCAAAATCGTTGGTATCCAAAGGAAGATCATGTGATAAGAAATGCACAAGTAAAATAACAGCCATAGTACATGTGCTTATTTTTATTAACGTTATGGTGAATGTTGAAGTTTTCAAAAGTGGGTTGAACTCTTAAGATTAGTGTCAAAAAATAAAAAAAAAATACTAATTAAAATGAATTTGATGAAATTTATAGAAATGAATTTGCCAAAAAGTTCTCTGCCATGAGTGTTAGTTTAGAATGAGTTATCAAGAGTGACGAAACTAAATATAATAGATTAAAGGAACCTTTTTCTTGCCTATAGATTAAATCAGTTACACAAGAGATATGTAAATGTTACATCATCCAAATTACACAAAGTAAAAATGATATACATCTAATTGATTGCGCAATATACCAAGTAATTAACAATTCAGTATTATTTAGGTAATTGTTTGGAGACCACTGGCGATCAACTGTCAGAAACTAACTGCTCACATTTCCTAATGGGCTGTCCAGATACAGAAGTCCACATTAACGAAATGTACAGATGTAAGCATAACTTGGTCTATGGAGAATAATGTCATACTCATCCTTAACTTAAAAAACCCTACTTATATTACTTTAAATATGTATTTACATACATGTTCTCAATATTCTTCTAATTTAGATCCCGCCTGTTTAAGAATTAGTACAGAGTATCACTGTTATCTTGCTGATCCGTTCTGTGGAAATACGTAAGTGATAAATATTCATCATTCAAATCAGCAAAATGTCCTAGTCTTGTAACTATATTTACACATATATATTTATTTTATGTTTAGTGCATGGGATAAAACTACCAAAGACACAACAGAGACATTGGTGACCCAGGGATTCTCTACAGACAATGGCGTGTATAATATAACAGAAACGATTATTCAAACAACCACATTGGCAGATAATAACTCAGCATTAATTGGGGCAATCGTGGGAAGTCTGGTAGTTGTGTTAGTCGCTATTCTTCTACTTTTGACTGTATTTATAGTTTTACGAAGAAGAAAACTGAGACAAGAAAAAGGAAAAGCTGAAGTTATAGGTACTGCAGTTTGTGCATACTATCTTTTTTGATATTTTCTGTGTGAATGTAAGATTCTTAATTTTTTTTAATTAAAGATAAAAAGAAAATAATAGCATTTATAAAAAAGATAATTGAATACATTTTTTCACTCATGAATAAAGATTTTTTTTTCTTTCTTACATAATTCATTTTACTTTCAAAGAATATTTAATTTTATAACTTTCATAAAACAAGAAACTTTTTTTTGGAAGGGGATTGTGAAATCTTGTTAAAACCAAACGAGGGAGAAAGATTAGAAAATTTGATTTAAGAAAATTTTGAATATATTGAATGTGGATAATTATAAAACATTGTATTGGAATTCCTTTTTCAGAAGACGTAAAGGAAGTCTTATTGAAACCGTTACCAACAATAGACATCAGACAAGGTACTTAATAGATTCAAGAAAATAATGTTTTATAATTTAAAAATGATTTAAGGAAGCCCTAAAATCGAAAACTACCTAGTATTTTGTTTATTAGGATAGGGTACCTCTCTTACCTGCGCAGGAAAATTTTTTCAAAAACAATATTTTTATACCCAAAGCAACTAGTTGCGGGAGGTATAATGTTTTTGACCCGTCTGTCAGTCTATCTCCTATGTTTAAAATTAAAAGGTCTGATGAAGGGTAAAGTTGACAGCAGAAAAACAGACAGGGCAAAAACAATATACGCCCAGGATCACACTGTATTGATCAGGGCGTATAATAATTAGAAAAATGAATTCATTTACTGTTAACAAATTGCGGAATTAACTGTAATGAGCAGTTTTGTTTAATTTAATTAAGAGGGTCGACTTGGGTTTCCATTGCGTAATATTTCGCGCATCATAGTACAATGTAGCGTATTTACTGTTTTAAAGCAAATGTTTTCTTCACTTACTTAATGAAACAAAACAAACTAAACAAACTCAAGATTTTACCATTTTTATAACAATTTTTATAATTAATAGGTACATTGATGTCCCCTCTGTAAACAAGGTGGTAAAAGTTTGTGGTTTTTATATATACATGTAATGTGCAGTATTGTATTGCTCATTATATATCATAGTTTAAGCAAAAAGTCTTGTAGTATTTGTAAAGTGCGTAAAATTTGCACTTTCCCATATAATTCAAATAGTAAATGTACCTGTATTTTGAAACGGTCCCTTAAAATACATGATGGGCGATAAATTTTCCCAAAACTTGTCATGTACACTGTAGTCAGTGTTAGTTATATATTATATAAAATTAAAGAGTTTCTCCATTTTAGTTTTTACACAATAAAACCCCAGTCGCCCCTTTAACTTGTAAGGGTGAAGGATATTATGGAGATAACGAATAGTTTTCAATATCAAAGCCCTTAAAACAATACAAAATAGGAGCAGATCAAACACTGACCTCTGAAACATCAGAGGTGGGATCAGGTGACATGGAGGAGTGAGCATCCCCTTCCAACCGGTCACATCCTACTAGTCAATATCAGGGAAATAACAGAAAAAATCCATAGTCAATTTAGTGTATATATAATGGACTAACAATTAGTAAGAAAAAACATCACTCAGCATTTGACTCAGAGATAAATTTTGATTATTTGCTGACAAGATCAGCATAGGTAGATCATAGGTAGATCATTCAAACCCATCAATAGAGCTCTTTAGTGTGCAGTATTCAGAGCTTCGATCCATATGCATGTTATAGAATCGCATTTTAATTTGTTGAGTATGCTAGGGCATCAACGATACTTCGAACGTGGGATAATGTGCATAACAGGCGAAGTCCATTATACATAAATTTTCCCTCGTTTCCAACTGTCGCCCACGCAACTGCCATCTTTGTCTCTGGCATACCCAACAAATTAAAACGTGATTCCTTGTTATACCCGCACTTTCTAAAGAAAGTTCGGGTATATTGCTGTTACTCATGTCCGTCCGTCCGTCTGTCACACTTTTCTTCCCTGAACTCCTCCTACATTTTACACAGTAGCTTAATCATCTTTTGGGAGATGGTTGGTGGTGTCATGAAGATGTGCAGTAAAGTTTCGGAATTTTGATTTTGCCCCGGGGGGTCAAATGGGGGTGGAAAAATGACGTTTTTTGTGCAAAACTCCCATCTTCCCTGAACTCCTTCTACATTTTACTCAGCAGCCTTATCACCTTTTGGCGTTGATTGGTGGTGTCATGTAGATATGCAGTAAGGTTTCGGAATTTTGATTTTGCCCCGGGGGGTCAAATGGGGGTCGAAAAATGACGTTTTTTATGCAAAAAGCCCCATCTTCCCTGAACTCCTCTTACATTTTACTCATCAGCCTAATCATCTTTTGGGGGATGGTTGGTGGTGTCATGTAGATGTGCAGTAAGGTTTCGGAATTTTGATTTTGCCCCAGGGGTTCAAATGGGGGTCAAAAAATGACGTTTTTTATGCAAAAAGCCCCGTCTTCCCTGAACTTCTCCTACATTTTACACAGTAGCCTAATCATCTTTTGGGAGATGGTTGGTTGTGTTAGGTAGATGTGCAGTAAGGTTTTGGAATTTAGATTTTGCCCCGGGGGGTCAAATGTGGATCGAAAAATGACGGTTTTTTTGTGCAAAAAGCCCTGACTTCCCTGAACTCTTCCTTAATGTTACTCAGAAGCCTAATCATCTTTTAGGAGAGTCAAATATTTTGAAAATTATGTAAAACATCAACGTCAAGGGGTAAAAAAGCATCGCATGCTGGGAAACACCTTGAATTCTTATGAGTAATTGTCAAATGTGAGAGTCATATCTCATCTCAATCAAAAGTTATAAGCAAATGCAACATTTTTGAAAAGTAGGTTAGGCTTGACCGCTTCAAGGTCAAGGTCACAGAGTAAAAGTCATGATTTATTTGGAAAGGTCTTATCACAGGTAATAATATACATGCATTATGATATGAATGCCCGAACTTTTCTCTTTCAAAATGATGAATTTATAACAATTTAATTTTTTTGCAAGTTAGTCAAACTTCTAGGTCACATGTTAAAAAAAACCCATGCCATTCTCACAGGTAAATACTAATACATAAGTTTAATATGAATGTCTCTTCTCATTCAGTAGATATGACCGTGATGACCAAGGTTAAATTTATGGAGACAGATGGACAGTCTGACATACAAATGTACATATTTCTATACGAATTGGGTAAAATTGACCCAGTGGTTCTAGAGAAGTTGAAAATGTTAAAAGTTTTCAGACAAACAGATGGACGACACGTCACAACAGACGTTATATGCTAAGGAAACCAGAAAAGCTCAAATGAGTGTTTTGACAGGGTTACAATATGGTTGCAGTATTTGAAAAGCTGTTTTTTTCATGCAGAGATATGCATGTCCAACATATTCATGTTTTATATTTTCTCTAGTAATTTGTTTGTTTGTTGTGAATACATCTCTTTTGGGAATTTTTCCCTCATATGGAGACACCACCAAATAATAATGAAGACAAGATGTGTTTGTGAAACACTGATATCCCTGTATGGAAGCCTATGGCGACGGTTGAAGTTTCTAAAATATATGTCAAATTCAAAGGTCAAGGTCAAAGGGTTCAAATTGTTAGTATTAGAAGAAAGTCTTAACACAAGGAATGCACATGTGAAATAAAGAAATCCCTAGTAATTCCTGTTCAAAAGTTAATTGCCAAGGTTATTTATTTTTTAAGTGGTTCAAACTCTAGGGTCAAGGTCAAAATATTTATACCTGTTGACAGTTCACAATGAATACACATGTTAAACATGAAAGCCCTAGCACCTACTGATCAAAATTTAGGCCAAGTTTAAATTTTGTTTTTTTTTCTTGTAAAAATGTGTATCCTAGGTCAAGCGATCAGAGGTAAAAATTAATGGTACCCAAATAAAAGGTCTTAATTGTCACAAGAAATAAACCTATAAAATGTGGAAGCCATTTGTATAGCCCATCCCACTTAAAACTTATGGGCAAGGTAATAATTTCTGCAGACAAATAGACAGATATAATATAAACACAAGAAACAAAATATGTATAATTAGTCAAATGGAAAAAAAAATTACTATTTAATTGGAATCACAAAATAGATTGTTATTTCAGGGACAGGGAGTAGGTAGGGAGATAGGAATCCCCCCCCCCCCTGGAATTTGCTTTGTTATTTAAACAAGACTATATACTGAAGCAAATAAAAAATGACTTTGGACATCCTCCCCCTAACTTAGAAAACATTGACCACACTATCATTGTTTTTATTTTGTTTATTTGTTTTCAGTTTTTTTCTCCTGCTTGTCAGGAAATTCTAGGCTGGGTTTTTTTTACTGAGATGTGAACCCCCCATCCCTACTCCCGAAAAAAAAAATCTGGATCCGCACCAGTATTGGCAGTAACTGAATGTCAGAGATAACTTCACAATATGAAATTCGTCTAGTGTGGCATGAGATGAGATGATCTTTGACCCTTTTTGAACTTTAACCTAATCGTTTGGGTTTATTTTACCCCCCCCCCCCCCCCCACTATGCTTAAACTTGTACTTACAGTACCCGCATCGTTATTCTTTACAGGATACACGATACGATAGGATACACGCACGATACGATAGGATACACGCACGATACGATAGGATACACGCACGATAGGACAGGATACACGCACGATAGGATAAACGCAAAACACAATAAACGCAAAACACGATACACGCAAAACACGATAAACGCAAAACACGATAGACCTGATAAACGATCTACACGATAGGATAAACGCAAAACCTGATAGGATTGTTTCAAAATGCGGAACGTTTTTTGACAAGACGAAAAGATTATTTTGAATTAAATCTAAAGATTAAAGATTATTTAAATTAAACTAATTTATTTTAATTTAAATACTCGCAGAGTTTCAAATCTAAACTATAAAGTACATTTAATTATTATAAAAAGAACCTGAGATCTCTGTATTAATTTTACGAAAGTTGTTCATTTTTATATATAAAAAATTGACAGTGATTAAATTGATTTTTATGAAATGGAGACTGTATTTTTTCTTAATTTTTTCTCAAGTGTGTGAATTTTGAAACACTATAAACAGATTTATTATTTATGAAAATTATACATTTTAATTTTCTAAATTTATCTACAAGTACCAAGTTATTTCACGGAAGAAATTTACGCAATAAATTAAAAATTTGTATTTAATGTCTAAAGCTTACATACTGCGATGTATCCAAAAATCGCAATTAAATATTAATATCTTAGAAAATAAACCAGTAGAAGACTTGCCGAAAGAAAGGTTTAAAGAAAACGGCTTTATAACAAAATTAATAAATTTATCATGATAGATCTATCAAGAACGAAACAGTCCAAGAAAATTAAATTTTCTGAATAGAAATCTAAATAATTATTAAATAATAGCGATCTGCATTCATACATGTAAACTG